TTGAAATTATTTGCTTCGTTTTTAATTTATTTGTTGTGTTGAAACTTAGGTGGAGTGGGATCAGTATCCGAACGAAGCAGAGGATTTGTACGAGTTTCGATACCTTGAGGATCGTCGACTCTGGTCGTGCAAGTTGCCTGTGATTTGCCACAACATTGTCGAGTGGCACCTCCTGGATAGATATGTCCAACAATATAATTGGGTGCAACCGATTCCTCTCCCACCATCGGGCGTACATGAGTGACTCCCCAAGTACAGCAAGGATCTGCGGGGTACAATCAGTGATTAGCCAACCAAGGACCATAGATGGATTGAAATGTGGGAATCTCGTCAGACGTATGCAATTGATGGCATCCCAATGACGAGGCCAATGGGGTACCAAGATGAATACATGGTTTGGTACCGCAAGTTCACAAAAAGATGGGTAACCAAACGTGGCGTCGTGATCGGTTCGTTGGTAAGCACAATATTTATTTACTATAATCACTTTAGCTACACAAAGAGTGTTTGACTAACATGTTTATTATTTAGGTTGATGGGTTGGAACTTGCATCAATGACGTTGGAGAGTGAACCAGAACAAAATGTGCCACCTGAGAAAATTTCATTCTTGAAGAAGCTCTTCAAGAATCTCTTGTCATGTTCGCGGGAAATTCGAAGGGATGTCATTGCATATCCTCCTGCACCGCCACGTCCTTCCTCCCATGCCATTGAAGTTGAATCCCTCCCGCCATCGCCACCAAGGAGGAGTAAACGTCGACAAGAGCCAGTTACAGTCCCTGTACAAGTACGAGAAGATGTGGCACATCCTGACCCATACGAGTATGGATTCCCCCCCCCCCCTCCCAACGAGGGATCATTAGGTTCTGTTCAAGGAGGGGGAGGAGGAGCCTACTATGCTCCCTCGTATTATGGGTATTCCAATGTCGACCATCAATTCCAAACCCCGCAGCAAAGCTTCCAGACTCCGATGGCAAATATTTATTATGGTCCTTCAGCCACTGCAATCCCACCACCACTGCCACGAAATACTGGAATTGGATATGGAGTTCGTTCAAGGAATAAACATCGAAGAGAGGGACGTGGACGCGGTGCACAAGAGTGAGTAGTGTGATTTCTAGAGTTGTGATATTATCGAGTTGCTGCTTCTGTAGAGTTGTTAAGTTGTTCTATTTCTTTAGGGTTGGTAAGTTGTTCTATTTATTATGAGTTGTTAAGGTGTTCTATTTCTAATGACGTTGTTAAGTTGTTCTATTTCACAACATAAAATTCAAATCACAACATAAAATTCAAATTACAACATAAAGTTCTTAAATCGCAACATAAAATTCAAATTACAACATAAAGTTCTTAAATCACAACATAAAATTCCAATTACAACATAAAATTTCAATTGTCAGTCAATGGCCATGGCTCCTCGGGCAAGTCATATAAAGCATGTGCAATTCCATGGTGTCGATTAGAAAGTATGGAAATGTCCTTCCGTTGAGTGACACAAGTTTATAATTGGGAAAAAAACCATGCCCAACTTAAGTTGTTCCCCTATTCGACTATAGCAAAAGCAAGCGGGAAAAGTTGCATACTGCCATAAACACTAGTGGCAACGAGTAGAGTGCACTTGTATTTGCCGGTCAGAAAGGTGCCATCAACTTGGATTATTGGCAGACAATGGGTGACACCATCAATGCATGGTTTGAATGCCCAAAATATTAAACACTGGTTTAGCAGCCCCCATAGAAATCTTCGTAACTAGGCACAAAAACAGACCCAAGATTCTTGTCCACCATTGCAAGAATCAAAGAAGGCATGTTAGCAAATGACTCTTACCAATCGCCATATACCTCCGCCATAGCTTTTTGATTTCCATGTCATGCTTTCTTGTTACTGATGGTATAGCCATGTCGATTCTTCACTTCAGCGATGACACTCTTCACGGTGATCCCAGGTTGTGCCTCAATCAGATATTTGATTGTTTGAGCAACCTTCCTTGCACTCAATTGTCGATGATCTAGAGAAATCAGTGACGACCTACAAGTGTGGTTTTTGTCTGTCTTACGAATGAACAAAGCCCCATTTCTTTTAACATATGCCACCCGAACATGCCACATGCATCTGTCGCCATGGTTCTCGCAAGGAACATGAATTTGTTTAGTGTCGGAAGTGATGACACGATATTGAAAGTAGGGATGTCAATGGGCCGGGTTGGGTCGGATTTTGCCAAATTCAAACCCATGGGTTTATCCATGAAAAAAACCCGGGGTATAACCCACTGGGTTTGAAAAACTCAAACCCATCCCAACCCGATGGGTATCCGCGGGTTTATGGGTACCCATGGGTTTTTGTCGTAAAAAATTTACAATAACAAGTTCCTATCAAAATTAAAGTCAAATATCAATCTCTCAATACAAATTATTCATATATAAAACACCATTCTAGAAAATTCAAGCAAATCACAAATCAACTATAAAAATTGTTCAACACCAATCTAGAAAACTCAAGAAAATTGAAGCAAATCACAAATTATCCATAAATAACATGATCAATTGAAAGCTTCTTCCTTTCAATTAAGTTTCTTCACTCTCCACTCGATAACATCAACTTCATTCTACACAGTTAGAAAGAAAAAATTAGACATGTCTCCACAAACATAAATACGATTAGTTGTATAGAATATTAAATATACCGAGAAAATTAATTATATGAGTGTGGGCCGGTATCCATGGGTCGGGTTTACCTAAACCCAAACCCAATCCAACCCGGTGAATAGTGAACGGGTTTAAACCCAAACCCGTCAACACGGATTTTACCCGCGTTGACCGGGTTGGGTCGGGTGGGTACCCGTGGGTTTGGTTTTTGTTCATCCCTAATTGAAAGCTTCTTCGCATAGCAATTTCTTTCAATGCATCGACCACCTGAGGCTTTCCTCCAAATGTTTGGCCAACCACAAATCCAGAATCAGGAGTCCATATAGGTATAGGAGGGAGGTCAGGATCGTCGTTGTGAGCATAGAGAGGATGTTGTGGTACCATCGTGTAATGAGGTGTGGGGGGCTCAAATTCCCCCTCATCAACTTCCAGATCTTCACCATCTGAACTACTAATTGATTCTAAATCTTCATCTTTCACGTTGCTTGCCTCGCTAGTGTACGGAGGACTTGGTTTATCCACATACGGATCATTATTGATGCCAGATGCTGGTGTAGATGCTTGTCTGGGTGCCCTTATGTAATCTCATTCTTCACCCCATACTGGCCACTCCTGTCTGTCATGTTCCACCAATGGACCAGGTGCAGTTCGATCCTCATATGTTGACCATGGTGCATCATGCAGAACTCTGAACTCTCCTGAACCGAAAAATCCTCCCGATCCTTCACCTTATTCGGTATAACCGCCGCCACCATATTGGCCAACAACTTCTATCTCGACATACACCTCAGCCGTTGGAAATATGTGTTCTGCAATAAATCTCACCATCATATTAATATCATCATCGTCAGACAGAACTAATCCTTCATATACAAGTGCATAATCCTTGTAAACCGGCATACAGTAAGTCATCTTGCATACTCTTCGCCCTCCTATGCAACATCGTTCCGCACAAATATGGTTGAGTTCTTGCCAAGTAAATATGCTCTCAATCCAGACAGTACTTGATTCACCATCTTCGTAGTCGACACTATTATGAAAATGTGTAATTCGACCATTCCAATGAATCAATAGGTCGAATTTTCGAAATTTTCTACCCATTTCTGCAGTTTATAGAAGCAGCTCATTACATACAGTTCAAACAATACTAAATTAATCCAAAATTCTAATATGCTCATTCAAACAACGTAAGCAGAACTTACCTAAAAAAAATTTCTTCTTTGCTCTGCTATGGTGCTCCAGCTGCTGCAGTTTGTGTTTGGAAGAAAGAAGATAGAAAGTATAAGAGCTGCCAGAATGTGCCTTGCTTGCTTTTTATCCTCGTAAACTGATGCAGTGGTTCGAGGCCAAAGAACTTGAACTATAGTAGTTCGAGTCCAGAAAACTCGATCCGGGGCAACCAATAATTTTACCCCTGCACCCTATTCTGGAGCATGTCGGGCCGAAAGCGATTGGACAGAATGATTGAGCAGTGTTTCGAGTCCAGGGTAATCGAACTACACTAGTTCGAGTCCTTAGAACTCGATCTAGAGCAACTGTGGTTGTCACGTCGGCCGGCGTGCCACCGGTTGTACCTGGTTCAACCGATACCGGTCACAAAACTGGCGTGACACCACCGGTATGACCGGCATGATCGATATATGAATCTCTAAGTAAAATGACCTTATTTTAGTGAATTTAATTGACAAAATTTATTTTATTATTTATTTTATGAGTATAAAAGTTAAATATTGATGTTATTTGTTGGATTCAAGTATAAATGTTTAGGTATTGACGTTAAATGTCATGTTTAAATATGAGTATTTATAATTTTATTTGTAATATTGACCGGCATGAAACGGCACAAATCAGTATGTGCCACCGGTCAAACTATCCACTTGTTACACCGGCACACTGGCATAAACCGGTTTGACAACCTTGAGTACAACAAAGAAACTTATTCCTGTAACCCTATCCTGAAGCATGTTGGGGAAAGTGACTTTGTAGATAAATTGACCAGTGGTTCGAGGCCATAGGAATCAATTTAGGTTGTTCGAGTTTAAAGTCATCGATCTAGTGCAGATATGGATCGAGGCTTCTAAAGTCGTTTACCTAGATCGAGTTGTTTGGCATCGATCTAATTGGATTGAGTTGTCCAAAGTCGTTCTACTTTGATCGAGTCCTTTTGTCATCGATCTACCTTGATCGATTTTTCCAAAATCATTCTACAGTTGATCGAGTTTTAGGAACTCGATGTGGTGTTAGTTCGAGTTCTTCATCGTCGAACTGGCTTGTTGTTCGAGTTTATGGGACTCGAGCCTTTTAAAACTTGGATAGTTTGAGAAAATTTTATAACTCTTATGTATTATAGGAATTATGTTTAACTAATGCTTTATTCCGGAAATTAAAACCCGGAAATGCTGAACTGAATCCCACCTAACTTGTTGTACAACATCAATGCCATTCAACAGTAGACACGAGTTTTTCTAGCCAAGAATACAAACACGGCCGAGAAGTACAAAATCCATCATCCCTTGTAAAGTTTTGTCGTCGTCGGTGAAGCCGCTGAAAGAATAGCATTCTGCCGCTGCCGCTGCCGCTGCCGTTGCTGAGACGACGGCTGCACCCTCACTAGATTGTCGCTCCGCACCCCACATGAGTACTTGCAAGAAAGAGCCCCCGACGCCAACGTCGTGGGACAAAGCAAGCCCGCCGCCGTCGACGCCCTTTTCTTCCTCGCCGACGACCAACTCCTTCTTGATATGGTGATCAATCTACTACTTCTACCCTCATCATCGTCCTCCTCCTCAAACAAATCGGCCGCCGTCTCCTGGTCCGTACACTTCCTGTATGCCACCAAGAAAGGGTCGTCGTCGACTACTGGCAACGCAAATTCAGATTCCTGCCGGCAATTGTGAATTCTGCACTTCAGTGGAGGGGGCGGAGGAAGATGATGACGACGGCGACTTATTTGGTCACCGTTAGCCGCGGCCAGTTTCGAAACTCCAGGCTTGTGCTCCCATGCGAATGGTACGTTAATGACGGCCCCAAACGACGACGCTGCTTCCCCGCCGTTACCGCCCATTTCTTTTTTCTCGACCTTCAAGCTTAGCTAGCTAATACAAGTATAAATAAAAGAAAGGATTGAAGGAGGATTAAAGATATACGTATACGTAATGAAGAAAGGAAGGAAGGGGGCTAGTTCACGTGCTTTATGCGCCTTAACGGCCAAAATGGTGTTAGGGGGAGATGGTTGTGTTTTTGTTTTGTAGTCCCAAAAGCACGCAAGTCTTATTTTTTGCGATGGAAAGAGAAAAAAAAAAAGAAAAGGGATATATGCATACATGATCTGAAAATGGCGGTTTCTGATTCTGTTTCTATGATGTACACGCGAGAGAGATAGCTGGAGAGTCGCCCTCGATGGTACCCTGAAATAACGTAGCAAATTTGGCAAAGGAAGTTGGAAGATTGTTGTCTAACAACTAACATTACCCATTCCCCCTTCATGACCTTCATATACTAGGATCGTTTACACTTCAAACAGGCCGCCATGGATATATTCAAATGCCTAATAATTGATTCATTAATGGGTTTTTGGAAAATGTAAAGGGGTTGGTGAAAGTACTCAAACTCAAACATCAAATTCTGGTTGCAAGTCTAACAGTTTAAGCTTCCTTTTTTCCAATTATCCAGAATTCCATTTAATTTCCCAATTATATATTGGGTCCGGATCCTATCAGTAACCGACCTATCAGTAACGGTCAGTAACCGTCCATCTGACCGTCCATCGCGCCATCTTCCCAGCCGTCAGATCATGCCAATTAAATACACGCGGGGGCAAAAAGGTAATCACGTCTCTGACAATTTGAATTGCAGACGTGACAGCGACAACCGTCCCGCCTTCTCTCCTTCTTTCTCTCACCTTTCAAGCGACAGTTCCACTTCCCTCTGCTCTCTAACTCTCCATTCTTCCTCCCGATCCTCAATTCTCTCACCAAAATCGCAGCAAAAACTTCCAGAAAAAACTTCAAATCGAACGATTTTCGCAAAGCTTTTCGAAGAATCATTCAACGATACACTGTTCTCGCTTCTTCGTCGAAAAACGAAGGGTTTCCAACTTCAACGAGGCTCAAAAATCGTTTTCGCACAAAATATCAAGGTAAAACCTCACTTCTTTCTTCGAAATCCATCCATAGAACAATAGAAACAGTATTTCAGTCACTCTTCATGTGAAAATTATAGTAAAACTCGCTACATTACCGAATCGTTAGCATGCATTGCTGAACTGGTGTAGAATCTGTTGTGTTTTGCTTCGTTACCACATGGTATGGCGTGGTAAGCTATGATTGCACGTTATAAAAAGGCAAGAAACCGTAACTCCTTCTGTGTTTTAGTTTGTTACCATATGGTAATGTGTAGTAAGCTATAGTTTCATGTTGTAAAATAGCAAAAAACCATAAGTTCTTCTATGTTTTAGTTTGTTACCATATGGTAATGTGTGGTAACCTATGGTTTCATCTTGTAAAATAGCAAAAAATCATAAGTCCTTCTGTGTTTTAGTTTGTTACCATATGGTAATGTGTGGTAAGCTATGGTTTCATGTTGTAAAAAAGCAAAAAACCATAAGTCCTGCTGTGTTTTAGTTTGTTACCATATGGTAATGTGTGGTAAGCTATGGTTTCATGTTGTAAAATAGCAAAAAAACCATAAGTCCTGCTGTGTTTTAGTTTATTACCATATGGTAATGTGTGGTAAGCTATGGTTTCATGCTATAAAAATGGAGGAAAACATACGTCCTGTTGTGTTTTACTTCGTTACCATATGGTAATATGTTATAAGACATGGTTTGATGGAATTACCATATGGTAAAATGAGTTAAATATATGGTTTGATTTGGTATGGTAGGAAACCATTATGGTACCATATGGTATATTATGGTAAAAAGCATACTAACAGACTATTACTAATTTCTACATTCAGGTACACTATGGTAAAACCAAGACACAGTTTTCGCACAAGGTGCAGCCCAACAAGAATATCTGCAATTGCAAGGTCAATAACAGATGAGCGGAAAGAGCAACTTGAGATATTAGGCCTAGCAGGCTTAATATCAATCAAGCAGACAAAGATAAACAACCATTTTGCACTGTTCGTAATGAACAAATACAATCCAAAGAAAGAATCGTTCAAGTTACCTGACAGGACACGCATCAAGATATCACCAATCGACTTTCATAGAGTATATGGTCTGCCGATGGGGAATAGGGAAGTTGTACCTCCCACGATTTCTTGGGATGACGCAGCAGATTATGCAATAGAAACCCTACTCGAAGTAGATGGAACATCCACTCCAAGGGTAAAGCTAAGTCAGGTAGAAAAAGATCTTCCTACAACCACACAGACTAAGAGATGGATGCAATTGTTCTTTCTGCTGGTCACCGGAGGCTTGCTGTGTCCAACTTCAGCACCTATGGCTGAACTCAACATGCTTGAGTACTTGAAGACTGAAGAACTGAAACATTTCACCAGCTACAACTGGTGCAAATACTTCTTCAAACACATGAATGAAGGATTGAAATCACCAAACCTCTATGTCAGTGCAGATCTTCACTTCCTTACAGTAAGTCTCCATTCCCTTGGCCATTTCAACCTTGTTACTCATATATTTTATATATAAATGATACTCTTTGAAAAAACTAATACAACTATTTGCATAAAAAGGTATGCTTCATGTACAAACTGGACGAAATGGCATTCTCAACCCAGCTTCGAACACCAACAGTAAGCTACTATGATGATAACAATGTTGATAGCAACTTTGAGAACATTAAGAGCTACTACAATGGAAAAGAGTTGAACGAGATCGAAAAGCTTGCCAACATTAGTGACGATGAGGCTGATGATGCAGCTGATGAGGAAGAGGAGAATGAGCCAGTCTATGAATCACCGAAAAGACAAAGAAACAAAAGTCCAGACCAGTCATCATCACTGAACTTTGATTTGAAGAATATCAGAACAGTCAACCAAGTAAGTACAAATTATCTATATTACAGTTGTCCAATTCATACTAAGCGTAAGTCCTTCTGTGTTTTAGTTTGTTACCATATGGTAAGGTGTGGTAAGCTATGGTTTCATGTTATAAAAATGGAGCAAAACATAAATCCTGTTGTGGTTTACTTCGTTACCATATGGTAATGTGTGGTAAGCAATGGTTTCATGTTATAAAAATGGAGGAAACCATAATTCTTGTTCTGTTTTACTTTGTTACCATATGGTAATGTGTGGTAAGCTATGCTTTCATGTTTTAAAAATAGCAAAAAACAACAAGTCCTGCTGTGTTTTAGTTTGTTACCATATGGTAAGGTGTGGTAAGCTATGGTTTCATGTTATAAAAATGGAGGAAAACATAAGTCCAGTTGTGTTTTAATACGTTACCATATGGTAATGTGTAGTAAGCAATGGTTTCATGTTATAAAAATGGAGGAAACCATAATTCTTATTCTGTTTTACTTTGTTACCATATGGTAAGGTGTGGTAAGATATAGTTTCATGTTATAAAAATGCAGAATAGTGATAATAATTGCCAATACCATGTATTACCACCATGGTAACTAACCATACACCATACACACATTACCACCATGGTATCTTACAAAAACTCCCATTATGCAGGCTGAGAATGCAATCAAACTGCTTGAAGCATCAATGAAGGCAATGATGAAAGCAATTAAAGACCAGTACAAAAGCCAAATTGACAATCTGATCAGACACAAGGAGAATCTTGCGAAAGAAAGCTGTGATGAAAATGTTCAGCCAACAGAAGGAGAAAAATTTCAGTGTGAAGATGATGAAGAAGAGAATGATGAAGAAATGAATGCCAGTTTGAATAAAACACTCAATGAAATATTCAAACAGACAAACATAGACCAGAACGAAGAGGAGAACAAGGAGCAAACACAGAAAGAAGATGATTCACAACCATCTACAGTCGATCTTGCTGCATCTACACCGAAGCCAAAAGAAAAGGAGCAAGATGATTCTGCTCCAGGAGCTGTGAATAGGGAAAGCATCCCAAAAGAAGGAGGTCCACTGGGGGAAGTTGCAACAGAACCACCAGAACAATCTGTTCAAGAAGGTCTGAATCAGGGAACACCACAACAAGAGGACACCCCGAAAGCAGTTCCAGAACAGACATCTGCAAAAGAAACAGGAGAAAAAGGAGCTACCAAAACAGCAGATCCAATGGAAGTTGATAAGGAAACAACAGAAGAAGGGAATACAGGGCAAGCTGCGCAAAAGACTGCAGAAACTGACAGCGAGAAAACGGTGTCAGATGATGTTGTTCGAGAAGAGGCTCCAAAACTGACAACCGAAGCTGCTGAGAAGCCTAAAGTGACAAGGGAAGACGACATTCCATCCTTTGATCTCAGCCCTCTCAACCGTCAAACACCAACAACACCAACTAAGTTGACTACCAACACGGCAACCGATCAACCAGGAGAGCCTCGCAAAAGAAGAATCGTGGTGAAGAATGTGCACGGAAATGAAAAGAAGGCAAGAGCAACACCACCACCAGCACAGCCACAAAGCACCCAGTCACAGACGGCGTCATATGCTATATGGTCAAATCTGTACACAAACAGCCAAGAGAAGCTCAAGAAAGTCTGTGAATGCATAGATGCTTACCTAGAGGACCTGAATTCTCCAACTGTCGAACCAGTTGCTCCACAATCACAAAAATCACCAGTTGAATGGTCAACACCAACACAAACAACACCTGATGATATGTTCAACAACATCCTGGAGTACATAAGATGCAAAAACAAGAAATTTGTCAAGAGGTAAGTCATCATCTTGAAACTTCTACTGTTATATGATTTTACTGTAGTGATCTAGTTTGTTACCATATGGTAAAATATGGTAAGATATGGTAAAATTAGATAAATCTATGGTTTAATGTTACAAAATGTAGTAATGCACAAGTCCTGTTTTGTTTTAGTTTAATACCATATGGTATGATGTGGTAAGCTAAGGTTTGTTGTTAAAGAATGGATTAAACCATAACTCCTGTTCTATTTTACTTATTACCATATGGTAAGATTTGGTAAGCTGGTGTGTTTTACTTATTACCATATGGTAAGATGTGGTAAGCTATGGTTTTGTTGTGGTAACCTATTGTTTGTTGTCATAAATT